CCGTCTCTTTAAATATAGGCAATGTCGATGCTAGGTAGTATTTAAATATATTAATATAGGTCTCTCGAATAGGCTATAGTATACGAGCAAGCTAATTAGGGTCTATACTATTAGGGGGCATAGGTTTATCGTTATTACTACTAAGTAGGTTAGCAGTCGGATTAGCTAAGGTAGAGGCTAGTATTAGGTTGCTAATAAATAGGACCCTAATATCGTTAGGGCACTCGTTAATGTTAGTATACTCGATGTCCTCTTTCCTAGCAATCCTAAATCGCTACTATTAGCTGCCTAGGTCTATAGTTACGGCGTGTTACTTAAGGATAGGGTTACTAATAACAATATCGGATAGGAGGTTGTCTATATCTACTATATAGGTAGTAAAGTCTAGTAGGCGCTTATTGCCGAGGTCGTCTCTTAGAACTATAGGAACATAGTAGGCTCTATAGGTTAAATGCCGAGCGTTATTAAACTAAGCAAGGATTAGTATGTTAGTTTTCTTCAGTTATCGGAGGTCTAATTACTTAGCTAGGCAATAGTTAATAAGGGCACTAACTAAATTGCCTAGATCTAGTATAGCCTTAGTCTTATAGTTAGTGCTATACGTATCCTATACGAGATAGGTGCGTATAATAGCCAGTATAATGTCGATAGTCTTACGCCGTATAAGGCTAATAGTTAGTATAGCGCTTATTCTTTTTTCGAAGGTTAGCCTATAGGGGTAGCGTTAGCGGCTAAGAGGTGCCTCCTATACTTAGCGGAAGCACGATTAATTCGGGCCTAATCCTTAGGTTTGTCGCATTAGCCTAGTAGATAGCTAGTGCTATTACAGTTAAAGCACTTTAGTCCGGTTAGGGGATTACTATAGCTATTGCTACTATTGTTAGCCGAGCGGTTAGTACTATAGGGATACGAGCCCCTTCTACGGCCCCTATTACGGCCTCCTCTATATAGCCGTCGGCTACCGCTTCTTCTACGGTTATTGTTACTATTCCTATTATCAGCATTATCGCTCCAGCAGGAACCTTAGTTTCCTCCGCGGCTACGGTTGCCGCAGTTAGTACTAGCTAGTCGGATCCTCGATTCTAGTCGTTACTAAAGCTAAATAGCTCGTTTAGCTGTTTCTACTTCGACTATAAATTAAATATATATTAGATTAGCCTGTTTAAACATACGGCGGCGGTCTAATTTAAGGATAAGCTCCTATCTAAGCTTTAGGCGTATTTCCGAGATCTATATAGAATTAGTCTTAACTAGAAGGTCGTCTTTAAGGGTCTTTAAATAGGCCTCGAATAAGCGGGCCGATTAATTAGTCTTCTGCTTAGCTCGAAGGTACTAGTCCTAAGCATATTATTGCCTTAGTATAGGGTTTCTAAGGGTGTCTAGTATAATAGTTTTGTAGGTTTGCTACTAAATAGCGGCCTAATTACTAAGGGAGTTAAAATAGTTATCCTAGGTACGTTTTAGGTCGCTATTAATATACTATATAGTATAGACGACTAACGAGTAGTCGTCTAGAAGGGCCCTTAGTATATTTCGTTAGTTAAGCTTACAATTACGTATATACTCGTTATATTGCTTGCGACTAGAGCCCTCGAATACGGTGCAGTCCTTAAGCTTAGCATCCTTCTTCTTCTAAACAGATAGTAAGGAAGGTCCTACTATTAGTTTAGTAGTAGTTATCGGGGCTTCCTAAAGGCGGCGAAGCTCGAGGAGGTTATCCTTTAGCTACTGCGGTAGTAAGCCTGTTTTAAGTAGCTTCTTAAAGTCTCGCTACTAGCTAGGGGCTAAAGGCTAGTTAGCTATATCGTCGATTAATAATATTATTAAGAATGTCGTTAATAGGCAATTCTAGATTATTACCTAGAACTATAGGCTCTTTATTAATAGGCTCTATACTACTAGTGTTATTATTGCTAGCGCTGCTAGCGGCGCCGCGGTTGTTATTACTTCGTAATAAGCCGGCTATTATAATAAGGGGTAGTACTAATAATATATTATAGCCCCTTATAGTGCGGATATAGCGGAATTAGTAGGTATCGGCCTAGTACGATAAACTTAGTATAATAGGCCGTATAGAAGGTCTTACTTAATAATTAGTACGGTTGTTTTAGTAGAATAGTACGTATAGGTCCCGTTCTTTAGGCGTAATATAGTTAAATCGATAGTTTTCGTAGCTATACCGCTAAAAGCTTAAAATAAGGACTATCTAGCTACTGCCCTTAAGGGATAGATCGAATACTATATAAGAAGGGTATATTAGTAGGTAGATAGGGTAGTAGTAGATATAAGTAGTATTCGATAAGGATCTAGAAGAAGAGGGAGGAGGGTAGGCAAGTTAGCCTAACGCTAAGCGCTAAGCCCTACCTAAGGCATCGAGACCCTAGCTTTACTCGGCCTAGTTACATACTAATTACATATAGCCTCTTTAGCCCTAACAATAATTAAGGAGCGATACTAGATAGTAAGCCGTAGAATAGCTTACTTCCTATAAAACAAAAGTCCTATTTTAAGCTATACTTCTAGAGAGTATATATAGACGGAGTAGTCTAGGTATCTAGTATAAGACTATATAACTTAAAGAGAATAATTACTACGAGACTAGATAGTAAGCTATAGGATAGCTTACCTCCTATAGAAGAATAGTCTCGTTTCGGGCTTTTTCTATATCGGGAAAATACGTATATAGGAAGCCTATCGGGTATCTAGCGTAAGACTATATAAGAGTATAATTCCTAAGACACTAGACAGTAAACCGCCGGTTAGCTTGCCTCCTATAGAAGAACGTTTCGAGCTTTAGTTTTTTTCGTTTTTAGAAGAATAGAATATATATATATATATATATACGAAGCCTATTAGGTATCTAGTATAGGGCTACTACGTACGAGGATAGAATTATAAGCGGCTAGAATACTTACCTCTAGTAATATTAAAATCTTGCTTAAACTGTTTCTAGTAATAATGCTTTCGTATGCCTTTAATCTATAGCTAAGAATAGTAACATAGACGAATATATACGCTAGGATATAGAGGAGGACACCGCCGAAGACTTTCTCTACTTTACGGCCCTCGTCGAGCGATAGGAAGTAATTAAGTCTCCGGCGAGATGTTTTTAGTTCGAACTATTATATTATAATAAGCGTTAGGCGAAAGGAGGGAAAGATTACTTAGGAAGCTTCCTACGTACCTAGCGCGATTATACTAACGGCTTCCTATCTACGAAATAGAGGCTTATTTCGAGCGTTGCCTCGATATAATCCTAGTAGACGAAGAATTGTTCTAGGTATATAATATAGCTATTAGTTAGAGAGGTATCTTACTTCTTAGAAAAAAAGTCTTACTTTAGGGAAGTTACTCTACTACTTCCTATTTCGTTGCCCTATACTCTTATATCCTCGTTTTTTAGAGTTATAAGCGGGAGTAACTTAAAGCTACTAGATGCCTTACGTTCTACGTAAACTAGTCTAGTAGTCTTGTTTCGAGAATAAAGTTAGAACTGAACTTACTATTCTACGTTCGTTGTTCTTATTTTACTTCGTTTTTAGAGTTAGATACCTCTAAGAGGAGAAATTTCTAAGCCGTGAAAGGAAGTAAGCTATTAAGTTGCTTGTACCCTGTGTATGGAAGTCTTGTCTCGAGGGTAAATTTGCTACTTTGCTTACCGCTTCTACGTTCTGTACTTTCAGTGTCTTCGGGTCTTTGGAGTTGAATGCCCCTGATTGGCTTTCTGAGGTGTTCTCCTTCTCAACTCCGTGCGAATAGTTAGCCTGTGGTCTCTAAGTCGAAGCCAGTCAGACTTAGGAGTAATCTTTTTGGAAGCAGAGTCGATGTAAGTTACTATGTGCGATTATAATTGGGATGTTTATGACATATCTTCTGTCTTCAGAGTCTGTACTATTTGGGTCGATGCCGGCAGGACTTGAAGATGATGATCTCGGAAGGAGCGATAATGTGACATGGCTCGTGCGATCACCAATAGAGCGTTTGTAGTGTTCTTTCCCTCTTCGGCTCCGAACGAAAGCATAGTCTATACTGCGCAGGTCGATGCCGGCAGGAGCTGGAGATAAAAGTCCTGGAAGGAGTATCAATGTGAGATGGCTTGTGGGATCACGATTGGAGCCTTCTCTCCATCTTGACTTTGCTCTCAGGCCTGCCCTGAGGCCTTCAGATCGACGTCGGCAAGAGCTGAAGATAGCAGGTGATAGAGTGAGGATTGTTCTGAGATACTTTGCGCGACCACACTTGGAGCGGTCTCTGCTATTGATCTCCATGTTCAGGCCCGCACCAAGGCTCCCAGACTGATGCTGGGAAGAGTTGGGTATGCTCGACTAGAGGAAGAGGTGGTCGATGTAAGATCCCTTGTCAATCACGATTGCAACATTCTCTTCATCTTGACTTCGTATCCAGATCCGTTCCGAGCTTGCGATCATCGTTGGCGACGTTTGTCGGAGCGGAATCACTGGGAAACCATCATTGCGATCGCGTCTTTCGTATTCTTTGCTGCTTGACTCAATTTTCAGGACGAACACGACTTTGACTCCCAACTGCAGCAGGTGCGAGCCATGTCGAAAAAAGATGGTCACTGTCGAGGTAGTCGAGAATTCGAGCAGAGAGTGCCTCGGGTGCGAAGAAGAGAAAGCCGTTCGTGATATGGAGTCGCACGTCGACAGTCAAGACTCTGCCTATCGGAACGCGGAAGCGCTTGCGAGGTCATAAATGGCGGTGGTGTCTCGCGTCTCTATTTTGGCGTGCTCTCAGTATTATAGCTGAATTTGCCCTTCAATCATGACTGCCTGTGTCTGCCATGATTCGCGACATTTTCTTGTGCTGTCCTTTTCCAATGTGCTTGAACTCTCCATCGCCTAAACCTGCTTTTATTGCAATTCAATTCTGGGTATCTTTCTCTTCATAACAAGCTCCAAGATATCATAGTGTATAGTGTATTCTTCTCTCGAATCAGAGCGCCAGCGCTTTCCCCGTTTCCGATCTATGTCTATTGCTCTTTAGACATTCTTTAGCACATCCATCATCCAGTTCACAGCCTGTACACTTTCTGCCAGTTTGTACGAGAAAGCCAAAGGAAAGACGTGCATCTGCTTGTCCCAATCGAGCCATTCACCATGCACCCGAGCCTTATTCAGCTTTTCTCTGAAAAGCACTCCGTCGGGTGATAGAATGTCATGACGTCCAGTGACGCCATGCACCTTGACACCCCTCTTCGCCAATAGAGTCACATCTCCATAAAAGGGCGAGACTCGTACATCGCAGGGTTCAAAGTCTCCTCTCCAAGCGTTTGCAGTCTGGTTGACAAACGCCATTCGAAGTATCGGGTCTTTCTTCTCGATAGTTTCCATGTCGGGGTTTGCTCGTCGAAGATCGGTAGAGGGAGATATCGCGAGGATCGCAGCAGGACAAGGGCTATCTGGATCTTCTTGCAGAGCATTGACAACCAAGCTGAGGACGATATTGCCGCCCGCGGAGTCGCCAGCCAAGATGACTTTCTCGCCTGAGTCCTCTGCTTGAAGCATGAGCGTACGGTACAATCGCATGAGCATCGGGAAAGCAGTTGGTGCCGAGCTCTTGGGTGCCAACGGATAGCTAACGAGCGTCACAGCAGTATCTGGAAGCCTATGCGCCATTTCGGCAACGAATGACCAGTGCTCCGATGCAGCAGGAGACTGCCATCCTCCGCCTGAAAAGTAGTATATTCTCTTGACTGGTTTCTTCTCTGATACGCTTCCCTTCGGCCGCACGTCATATAGGTATATGTCTTCGACTTTGCGCTCCGAAACATCGCATCGCTTCTTCGCCTTCTTATGCGGATCTAGTTGAGGCGATCCAGCTGGGAAAGGGTGTTTAGGCGGCTTGATGAGCTTTGGACCAAGGGGCTTGAGAATGGTGTGTAGTATGAGCATCAAGGCGCTCCGGTCGCTGCGTTTCGTGACCTGTATCGAAGGCTTCTGGTGCGGCTCCAGATCGGAGGTGTTCTCGATCGCCATATCGTCGCGAGGCGGGTCTTGCGCGATGGACGATGAGTGAAGGCTGTAGATGGATGGAATAGAAGACAATAGTAGTAGTAGGCTCAATACCTACCTTCGTCGCGGAAGCATCGTCGTAGTCATGAAGAAATGCACTACAACGCAGCGGCAGTGCTCATCATTGATGTCGGCCTGGAACAAAGCAAGCGTATGATATCAAGGGCCCGTTACGTTGCCCTGTTTTCGTAGGTCAGTTTTCTAGAAGTATACGATAATCGGGTGTGTTAACTCGACCGTGGTTTTCGTACCCAATTTTCATCCCAATTTTCTAGCTATTAGCGTTCCTCGCTTATATAGCTATATATAGTATAAACTACGAAAATTCGAACTCTTAATACCTCGTAAATAGGATCTACTCTTATCTTTAAAAACTAAGGCTATTTAGCCCTATATCGCGCTATAGAGTTGCAATTAGTAGTACGGTAGGCGCGGAAGCGACGAATAAAGGTTATAAGGCGCAACTTTACTATTATATTAGTAATGCTAGTATCTATACTAGAAAAATATAAATAGTCGATACCGAAGGATATAAGGACGATATATCTAGATAGCGAGAAGAGCACTCTAAGCGAGCGGCTACTATACGACCTATAAGGTAGTAACGAGGTACGGATATATCGATACTATCGGTTTACGCTAAGTTAGTTTAATAAGCTCTATAATATAAGTTATAGCGATATTAAGAAAGGTACCTATATTAGTAGTATATAGAAGTTATTACTATTTCTTAATACCGTAATAAAGGCGCGTCTATATCGCGATTTAGCGGAAGACTTCTACTATAGACCTAGCGCGATATCTCGTATCTTCTACGAGGTATTAATAGCGTTAATACCGCTATATAGGAAGCTCGTAAGGCTAGCAAAAGCAGACGACTCGATAGTACTAAGAAGCCGTAGCGGCAAGTATTAGCCTTACTTTAAGGACTATATAGGCGCGCTCGATAGGTCGTATTTGCCGGCTTATATACCTATACTAGAGTAATATCGTTATCGTAGAAGAGATAGTAAAGTTACGTAGAATATATTAGCGGTTATCGATTAGTATCGCCGCTTTACCTTTATATTACCTAGATAGGAAGGATTAGCTTACGATAGTTATATAATCGAGGATACTATTAAGAACTATAGATTCGACGTACCTACTAGCAAATATTATCTCGCTAACGCTAGATACGCGTCTACTAATATAACGATAGTGCCTTTCTACGGCGTACGCTATTATCTACGTAAGTAATACGAGTCTCGAGATAAGCCGAAGAATAAGGATAAGTTGTTTAATCTCTACTACTCGTCGCTACGTAATATCGTCGAGCGGACCTTTAGTATCTTTAAACGCAAGTTTAAGATCTAGAAAACCGCGCCTAAGTTTAATATACTAACGTAGGCACGTCTTGCATATATAACAATAGCGCTCTATAACTTCCTTACCGACCGTAGATCGCTATATTAAAAGCGAGGTACTATCGTACGCGATAAAGATACCTATTTCGAAGGCTATAGACCGAGTATCGATATCCTTGATATCGAGCGCGAGAAGTTATAAACAGACGCGTTTAGAGACGAATTAGCGATAGTAACATAGTTGAATTATTAAGCCTGCTACGAGGTTTACGGTAATGCCGAGTATAAGAGCGATTAATCGTTTCGAACTTAGAGGGTCGCGTTATTAGGTCGATATAGTAGATCGGTATATTCTATAATAGTCGTCCTTAGTAAATTTATTAGCGAATCGTATGTTTTTATTATATTCTAGCATTTCTATATACTAGGTAGCCCTATCGTCGTCGTTATAAAGTTCTATCGAGATTTCTAAAAGTAATCGATATTTACTTCTTAGTATTCTAATAAGGACGACGACGAGGTCTATAAAGGTAGTAGCGGCTTCGCTAGAGAAGTAGAATCGAGGCAATATCGCGCTACTAACAAATTTATATAGTATACTATAAAAAACAGACCTTTATCGCCCTAATCGTCTCTACTAGTACTATCTAGAACTCTACTACGACTACCCTTATCCTTTACGCTAAATATATCTTCTATTATCTCCTAGATCTACTTAATCTATTCTTCCTCCTTTATACTAAGAAATAAACTAACTTCTTCTCTTCTAAGTTCTTACTACCTTCCTTATCGCTACGCGCTGCTATTTCGAAGGCTAGTAAGCGTACGTAGGTATTACCAAAAGACGAGCGAAGCGCTCTTAGTTGTCCGGTAGCTCTTAGCTAAGTAGAATATTAGACTCGGATAATAACCCTCGTAATCTATTAACCGTACTAACTATCTTCTTAGTAGCTATTTTGCGCCGCTTATTTTTCTCTTTAGTATACGCGTTATAGGTAGTACGCTTTCTTATAGCGATCGAGTTAGTATTATTACCGATAGGAATACTACTATTATCGTTATCTCCTTCTATAGCAACGAGACTACTAGTAGCGTATTTACTAGTCGCTAAAGTCTCGGACTATATCTCGTATAATATCTTCTTGTCCTTTAAACCCTCGTACCTAAACTTGCTATAGGTCTTTACGTACTTCTTAGGGAAGGCGTCTATTACTCCTAACTACGCGATAGGCAATTTAGTAGTCTTATCTTCCTTCTAACCGGATATCTTAATTATAGCGAGATAGCGCCTAGTGTCTTAATAGCGCGCGTTGCCTTTGCGATAGATAGTCTCGAGATTAACCTTCTTAATATAGTCTTTAGATATCGCCTTCCTTATCTCTTCTATAGCGCGCTTCTAGCTAATAGGCTTAAATCTACTTATTCTATCTCGCTAACTATTTAAATAGGACTATAGTAACGACTTATCTAGTACTACGACTATCTCGCGAGTCTAATTAAGCTACTTTCTACTATCTTTAGTACTTAGCGATCTACCGCTCCTATATCTACTCTAGTTTAAATCTACCTCTAGTATACTCTATAGCGGCGTAGACGCTTAAGTATCCTCCGAAGGCGCAACCGACGGCGAATACGACTAATTATAAGGGCCTAGCGTCTGCGAGCCTAGCGTAACGACGCTGCTATATAAATTACTATAAAAGCTATTATACTATAAAAAAGGCGACAAAGAATAAAGTCCTAGTATCTAGTTCTATAGAAGAGGCGTACTATTAGTAGTAGCAGTATTCTACTACTCGAGAGCGGCTATTTCCTACTACTACTAAGTATTAGTTAATAGCTCCTCGCCGGATAATAGACTAGATAGATCTATAGCTAAATAGTAATATGTAATAGCTTTAATCTACTACAGCGATTCTACGCGCTAAGAAGACGCGAGGTCTAACAACTATTCTATGCTAAATTAGGCCTCTTAGTAAGCTACTAGTATATACTAGGTTTACGAAAACTAGTCGACTTAATAGACGCGATTATCGTAGCGATTGTCGTACCTGTAAGCGACGATAAACAGTAGATATAATATACTTAGTTAGCTTAAGAGTTAGACTATTATTAGGCACGATAAACGCGACGAAAATCGGGCAACGTAACGGGCCCCAACTCAATTCAAGTTCTTGGGGCGGTATGATAGCGTCACTATCCTGGTTGTCGGACCCCCGCCGCCTTGGCGATCTCCTGCAGGCAGGCCAGTGGAGATTGCCGCCTTGGCAGTCTCCTGCTTTTCGACCTCAGGTGAATGATTGCCAAGCCTCTTTTCCACCATATCACCTTTCTTTCAAGTGATAATCAAGTCTACTATTGCACTTTTCTAACAATATCTAGGCTGGTTTGCTGACCCAAGAGCCGCTTGCGTTGGCCTGTGAGCATTCCTCGGATGATCCAAAGAAAGCCAACCAAAGGCGATAGAAATGAACAGCAGATGTGTGATACGATATACGAAACTGGTGACTTGCCTTGTTTTGAGACAAGGTGGCACGACTTCTTAGTCAGCGTCGCAGCGTTCCAGATATCGTCGTCAACCCTCGAGGGGACGATGGAAAAATGCACCGCTTGGACATCTGGATACACTCTCTGCTTGAATTTTGGCCACGTATACTGGTACCAATACTTTTTCAATTGTGATCATCGAAGTCAGGTACTTGCGCTGCAAAGCTAGTAGCTACCCTTCATACAACCAATCGTTGCACATGCAAGGTAAGGCTTGGCACGAAGCTAGTCAGGTCCTGCTCTCAAAATTATTCTCATTCATTCTCATCTGTCTACCACAATTACGACAGCGAAGCCACAGCAACCCAAGACACCTCCCCGACGCCAGCTCGACCGCTAAATCCCATCCCACCGACATAGCCGATCCTGGTTTTGCGGAGGGATTGGGCTGAAGCTGCAGAGCATGCGCAATTCGGAGTTCGGGGTCGATCGAAGCGAATCTGTATGAACCCGCACGTCAGCCGAAGCTGTGGAGGCGGGGTGTCGCTCAGATATAAATGGGTTGATATCATTGAGAAACTCAAGAGGATAGCATTGGTGCAATCATCAACACGACTTCACCTCCCTTCTGGCCTGGTAATGATGGGATAGCCGATCCTGGGTTTGCGGAGGGAATGGGCTGAAGCTGCAGAGCATGTGAAATTCGGAGTCGATCGATGCGAATCTGTATGAACCCGCACGTCAGCCGAAGCTGTGGAGGCGGGGTGTCGCTGAGATATAAATGGGGTTGATATCATTGAGAAACTCAAGAGGATAGCATTGGGAAATCATCAACACGACTTCACCTCCCTTATGGCCTGGTCATGATGGGACACAACCGATCCTGGTTGTGCGGAGGGACTGGACTGAAGCCGCAGAGCATACGCAGTTCCGAGTCGCTCGATGCGAATCTGTATGAACCCGCACGTCAGCCGAAGCTGTGGAGGCGGGGTGTCGCTCAGAAATAGTTGGGAACATCATTGAGGAACTCAAGAGGATAGCAATAAGTTGGGCAGTCATCAACACGACTTCACCTCCCTTCTGGCCAGGCAATGATGGGATACAGCCGATCCTGGTTGTGCCTGTTGAGGACGTTGGAGCGGGATACAGCCGATTCTGGTTGTGCTCGTTCAAGCCGTACAGATTGTCGATCCGCAGATTGTCGCCAGGAGAATCTAAGAAGCAGGACATCAGCCATGAAGACTGGTACAGGTCCACGACAGGCTCAGGGGGCGGCATTAGCATCATTTCATGAAGCTCAGACAGGCGCGCAGCCGGAATCCATCATTCGCCAGGACCCTGCCTTCTGAAAATTCTCCTGGGTCAATCAATGCTAGACTTGTCGAGGGAAGATCAAAAGCTGGAAGCAGATGGTCGCTGAAGCCGGTCGATGATGAAGCGTGCGTCGGAGGCCGATCGATATCGGGAGACTGGTGTCGGTCGTCTCGCGGCTGCAACTGAAGCTCCGAGGCCGTCGATGGATCGCTGGGAAACCTGCCCTGCCTGAAGAGGCTAAGCTGAGAGGGCATCCATGCAGGTCAATGATGAGATCAGGGGTATTGGGTTTGTCGGTGTCGGGAAACTGGTGCCGGCGCCCTGCCTCAATTGTGCTGAGACCTCGCGGGATGGAACTCGATGTCGATGAGCCTGCGTACCAGAGCAGCTTTAGAAGTTCGGAAGCTCAAGGCTGAATTGAGAGGAAGCAGGGTGGCCATGATGCAGTCGATTGAAGCAGAGGCCGGGTCCAAGAAGCTGAGGAGCCAAAGCATAGAAGAGGATTGTGCAAGATGGGGAGGCTGAGTTGAAATACAAAACGAAGATGAAAGAGACTTGGAAGAATCAAGAGTGTCATATGAGCTGTCCTCTGGCAACGAGGCGCAGCCATTGTTTACATTGCTGAGACGCAAGACCTATGGGTTCCGAGGCAGGTACATATCCCACAAAAGCAGTCGCGCTGACCTTTGTAGCAGGATCATCCAGCTCAAGACCAAGGCAAGGCAGCCGTAAGAGTATTCTGGCTTGCATGAAATGCGATCAACGGAAAGTGGCTTCCTTCGTGAGTCTCCAGCACCTTGGGAGACGATGCAGGTGTAACACGACAGACAGAGAAGGCATCAATCATCAATTGTTTGGCAAAACGGAGTCACCATCGATGAGCGCGAGAAACGTGGTTGCGATTTACAGTGGTGGGCAGATCAGCAGTGGATCGATTTGTTGCTGCAAGGTTGACGCAGGAGAATGTTTTGCTTCATTCTTCTTCGCCTACACTCCTCGGCCCGAGCTCACAGCAAGTCTCATCGTCCTTCACTCATAACAAGGAAATACCGCAAAGCCAAACCAAAAGCGCAGCACCGCCAGCAACACCACCTTCATCAGTGAACATCTTCTTTCAATCGGTCCCTCCTCTGCTATTATACATGGTCGTGAGCAGGGACGACAGCACAAAATGCACATTGCCATGACAGTACCCAGAGTCAGGAGAATTTGAGATGTTCTCCCCATCGTTGAAGCAGATGGACCAGGCTATTTCTCGAGCATGCGACCCAGAGCAAGAGGGCGGTGGTGACCGCCGTTGGCTGCCTCTCTTGATGTCTCGTGGTCTTCCGTCTGACAACTTGTCTGTCAATGATCCTCTTATCAAGGACATGGATCCACAAGCCAAGGCTGACTTCGAGAAAGCTTGGAAGTCTCTTTATCGCTCCGAAAACTTCAATACTGGTCAGACGCACTCCTTAAAGGGCTTGCGGAAGCTCACGGCTGGCTCTCAGTTGATTCGTGGTCCGGGAGGTACTGGCAACACGCATGTTATGGTGGAGGTGACCAACTTCATTGTCGAAAACACCGATCGCGGAGTCTTCATCGGTTCACAAAACAATGCCGTGCTCGACCACATCGCCCTGTCGCCGTCCGTTGATATTGCACCAAACAGGGCCTTGTTTTGTCAAAGAGCACGAGTTCGTTAGCAAACTTTGACTAAATAAGGCCTCTTCTATCAAGATTTGAGCTTTTACAAAATACAGCCTCTTTTATTAATAAATCTAGGATATACTGTCCAGAACATCGCTTCGAATCAGCAGTATATGAAGAAGACCTGTCCTTCAAGAGCCTGCTGCCAAGTGCTGTAAGTATAGCTACCTATACCTGACCTACGTATGTTTGCTAAAAGAGGGCTGATTTAATAAGATACGAAAAGATCGCCCTCTTAGTATACATGTAAGTGGATACCAAACCTTGACGAAAGAAGCCGTGTTTGATGAAAGGCACAGTTTGACGAACTTGCGACGACAGCCCTTACCACTGCTCCAGCGCCATCCTAATCTCAAGGTGATGCGCATCTCTGCTGTCTCACTGTCTGCCATCTCCAACTTCACGAATCAAGAGCAGTACTTGGGAAAGAAGAAAGCCGATATCGATGCGACTAGGCTGGCCAAGGATCCCAAGGACCAACCCAAGGATATTCCTCAGTACGAGATGCCACAAGACGGTATGGTCGTGGTCATGTACCAGGCGTTTGTTAATCACAACAACAAGCTCACTGGGAGGGGCTGCAAGCTTTCTGATATGACTTTGGAGAAGTTTGTTCAAGAATATCTCGATGATTCGGACGAAGCACCTCTCATGGCCGAGTTCATTAATCAGGATGGCAGTGCAGGTGGCGAGGCACAGGATATGAGAGCAGTCTTCCCAGGGTACGTTTCGAAGCTCAAGAACACCCCTCTGATGCCTCGAGATCCTGCTACCGGCGACTACCTCTGGTCAGACGAGGGCAAGAACCAGGTTCGTCAGGCATACCGCCACCTTGCAGATGAAGTCATGGGCTGACAGCGAATGATTTGCGGGGCTGTATATGCTGCTGCTGCTCGCGACTCCCGCGAGTTTGGGCGTAAGCTGTCCGGGTAGACATACATACTCGATGAGGCTCTGACTCTACAAGAGGCATCGGCCCTCATCGCCCTACTTGTTCCTCACTGGTCAGATAGCGTGGAAATGTTCCTGCAGTTTGGCGATCCGGCTCAGCTCTATCCGCTCGTCACTGGTGGGACTTTCAATCCTTTCTCGAGGCAGTTGGGTCAGCCGCTCTATGACTCTATGGTGGCTCGTGGGTTCAACCAGCATCTCTTGGACGAGCAGCATCGTATACACCCAGGTATTTTCGCTCCACTTAACCGCGTCTGCTACGGTCGTTTGCTCAAGGACAAGTCATCGCATCCGCTATTGGAAGATAGGTTCAAAGCGATGGTTAAGAAGACTTTTGGTCTCCCGGACGAAGCCGAACTCCAGGAGAAGCATATGCGCTTAGCTTGGCTGTACGTTGCCGACTCCGCCTCTTGCATGAACACGGTGAACACGACAACCCGTAGCCGTGCCGTGCCAACCTCAAGTTCTTTTTATACGGCATCTATCTCATCCGCACCCTCCGTGGATTCTACGGCAAGACCATGAGCGAGAAATTTGGTATAGTCGCCCCGTATAAGCGCCAACTTCAGCTATACATCGGCTGATCAAATCGTATGAAAGCCAACGAGGGCTGGACTGATGAGGAATTGCCGCGATTCAATCTCACAGTCAACGCATCCCAAGGTAAGGAGATGAATCACCAGATCTTTGACACTGTCATTAGCGAGCTCGGCGAGAGTGGTCATCCCCTCGACTCGGGCCTTCAGACTGTTGGACTTTCTCGTGCTAAGAGCAAGCTCTGGATCATCTCAGGTAGCATGGCTTTCAACCCTCCTAGCAACGTCGGTGCGAAGAAGGATGCCGACTTCAAGAACGTTGACGACTTCACTTCTGCAAACAAGAGAAAGGATGACCTGAAGCGCTACAAGGAGTTGCTGGCCAAGGGAGACTGTTTCCATGGAGTCCCTGCCCGTCTCGCTCCTGGTATTCCCCGAGACGAGATCGATGTTGACCTTCGTCAAGACGCTGATCCAGTCGACTCATCCTCTACTACAAAGACTGATGACGGCTTTGAAGGCTGGGGGAACGCTGCTGGTGCTGGCGGAGCGGGGACAGGCTGGAGGACAGGCTGGAGGCTGGGACAATGCTGCTGTTGCCGGCGAAGAGGGAGGCCTGGCTGGAGGCTGGGACGATGCTACTGTTGCTGGCGAAGCGGGAGGCCAGGCTGGAGGCTGGGACAATGCTACTGTTGCTGGCGAAGCGGGAGGCCAGGCTGGAGGCTGGGACAATGCTGCTGTTGCTGGCGAAGAGGGAGGCCAGGCTGGAGGCTCGGGCAATGCTGCAGCTGGTGCTGGTGAAGATGGAGGACCGGCTGGAGGCTGGTAAGATACCGCATCTTGATCAAAGCCCTGAGCATAGATTGAGGGGAAAGTCGCTGTACATAGCACATACTCTTGCGTTCATGTTGCGAACTCAGATTGACAACCCGGGATATGCTTACTAAGCATACTTCCACCCAATAGAGTTTGTACGAATTCTTGGCGCTCCGACATCATCACTTCAGCTCCTGGCTCGGGCTGCATCTCAATCACCTGGCCACTAAGAAAATTTGGCCTCGCTATTACTTCGCGAAGAGATCCATTTCAAGGTGTGTGTGGGCAGTCATCGAAATATGCTTTGTTTTGTGCCTTAAAGACGAGACCTACGGGCTACAGCGAGCAAGGTCATTCTACTTTCCTCCGTACGAACCAGAAAAATGTCGGCGCGAAACACTATCACCGTCAAACGCTTACCGGATCGCAATCCAGAGCCCGGCAACGCCAAAGCTCACCATGTTGGAGAACCGCCCACCGCCTTTCGTAATCCCTGGCCATCTTTCAAGGAAAACGCTAGCAAGGCAGAACTTTTCAAACTCCGCTTCGGTAGCCACCCCGAGAAGAACTTCGTTCCCGTGCCGGAAGGACCAAATGGGGCCCGGTCAGAGCAGCTCGTCAAAGTTTTGAAACCACATTGGGGAGAAACGCAACGGGAGAGGCTGCGAGCGACTTGGATCGGTCACGCTTCTTTCCTCGTCGAGACGCCGGCGCCGCCCGGCCAGGATCGCGGGATTCGAGTTTTGTTTGACCCGGTATTCAGTGAAAGAACGTCTCCATTTACGTGGCTTGGGCCTAAACGCTATACGCCAACACCATGTAGTTTGCAAGAGATTCCAGATCCGGACGTAATCTGCATATCCCATGATCACTACGACCATCTAGATTTTGATGTCGTTTCGAAACTGTACAACAAGCTCAAAGGGCGGCTGCATTTCTTCGTAGGATTGAACATTAAGAAGTGGTTCTTACAGCATGTCGGCTGCACTGATGACGACGTGACTGAAATGGATTGGTGGCAAAACTGTGAGCTAGCCGTGCTCGATGTCGGGCAGGCTCGTCTGACATGTTGTCCGACTCAGCACTTCTCTGGCCGCACGCCTTTCAACGGAGGGTCTACACTTTGGTGCTCATGGGCTCTAGAAAGCACCGGAAAAAAACTTTATTTTGCTGGAGATACTGCATATCAAGCCAAAGATACTCCGAGTCCTTGTCCGGTGTTTGCTCAGATTGGTGAACACATTGGTCCTTTTGACCTGGCCATGATTCCAATCGGCTTATACAGTCCCACTTACATCGCGGCTTCCGTTCATGTCCACCCGGAGCAGTCCCTAAAAATACACAAGGCCATCAAGTCACGCCTGAGCGTGGGTATGCATTACGGAACAGTTCGCGGCGGATTGAGCGCTGCATACGAGCCCGTCACCGATCCTCCGAGGAGATGGCGAGAAGCTGCAGAAAAAGAAGGTATCTGGAATGGTGGAGGTATTGAGGGTGACGGGTCTTCAATTGATCTATCGAAACCAGGCGTCGGCCTTTGCCACGTCGGAGAGACTGTGTTTGCGTGAAGACTTTCTTCTTTAAATGTCGACCTCGCATTAGCTGAAGTACCTTTCCAGCGTCTTGAGTGGAAACTGCAGCGCCACGATACCTTCAAGCGTTGACGAAGGCCACGTCGATGCTTCGAGAGCCAGTAGTGCCGCTTCCCGCGCAGCTGCTCTGGATGATAGCAACTTCATTGAGGCTATCTTATAATCTTCTCCAGCAAGATCGAGATCTATGTCGGTTAGAAGCTGTCGCAGAGATATATTGCACATATGCAGCTCCAGGGTATGACACTACAGAAACCGAATGGTGCGAACTTAGCAGGTGTCTCAGACATGGTGCACTTCTTGAGGGTCCAACAGACTTACCCAGTAGTGCATGAAGAGCCCAGCCGCCGGCCCATTTGGGAACTGGACCTTCAGGTCTCCACGTTCAAAAGACATGAAAGAGCTCGGAGTATTCGACAGAGTGCTTTGCAACGTGCTCGAGCCGGTACCGCCGGGACGTACAGCAGTGCCGCCGTATTCGAGACTGGCATGTCCGAACCACGTCTTCAGTTGACGCAACAATTCATCAATGTCTTGCAGCAGCTGTTCGACTTCACTCTGAAAGTTCTCGCCTCGAGAACCTGTCTCATGGACCAGTGCATCTGTCTCACGAAGACGCTCAGGAATAAGGACTGCAATGTCCGCAAGACGGTCTCTCACGCTCTTTCTTCGTCCTATGAATGGCATGAGTAGCCAATCTGGCTGATGCAGGAAAGACGGACGCCTGCGAGTTATGCTGTGTCCGACCTGAAGCTCAGCTCGGCCGTAGTGACGATGGGATTTGAGCCCGGGACTTACTAGAATGTTGCGAAAGCTGCTGAAAGTATTCTGAAACGCCGATGATGTGAAAGCAGAAGGCCCGCATTCTCGGATGAGCTCTATTGCCCCTTCAATATGGGTTTCGAAGGCGACACTCGAGATGTCCACCTGATCAATCAGCTACAACTCGTTAGCGACCAGCTTTCATCGGCAGTACAATGTCATTTACCTCGTACAGCTGTAGTGCAAAAGCTACACATGCGAGTATTTTGACGCGATTCGGAGCGCTACGGGCCCCAACCTGATCAATGCAAGCATTGCCTAGGGCTACATGGAACAATCCCAACGCATCTGCGTATGAAAATTTGGCTACTTGAATAAGACCAGCATCTGAACGGAGCATTCCTAAGTACAGCGTTAAAACGCTGCAGAGAGCCAGATCGAATGCCCTCCCGCTTTGTTGCGCTAGCGGAAGTAGGCCGCGGATGCATAGTGCAGCGGTCGAATAATCTGCATTATATGCCGGTCCAGGTACCCGATCTCCGCAGAAGATCCTCACGCCGCTGTGTGGCTGAAAGTCCTGCAGGACTGTTAGGTAAACATTGTCGATTTCATGATTCGACAGCTGTGCATTGGCGAGCATTGTGGCAGTCATTGACGACTGGATGTAAGCCTGGCGAACTAGCTGATTTCGGTGGCAGACTGTCTCGTAACGCTCGCGAGGTGTTTGTACCTGTCTGTTATGGACATCTGGTGCTATATTGCCACTAATGCTGGACAGATATTGAGTCTCCATTGTCGGCATTCTTTGGTGTCATTCGCAAAACTCTATTGCTTTGCTTTGATCAGTCATACTCTTATATACTCGGTCACATATGCCAATTGTACATCCGGCCCTTCGTCTGCATCTCGATTGCACGTCACGTCTGCTTCACATGGCGTACTGCCTGGTCGATGCAGCTCCAATCGCCACTGACTACAAGCACACTACATGCTGCTGAGAGAGTATTGCACCTAAAGTTCCAGATACATGCCTCGATTCGTCTGAATTTGGATGTGGAATTATCGCGGAATCTAATCAAGAAGATGATTAATCGTACCAAACCAGGAGACGACACTAGGGCTGCAGTCAAGGGTGGCGAAAATACCAAGAGGACTTGCGCATGACCCATGTTGGGGCAAGCATCGAAGCGAACATGCTGTGGAACTGTGGCTTCGACAACACTGAAGACATTGGTAAGCACTCGATCGGAATTCCGGTGTTCTGTGAAATCAATGCTAATTCATGCTTGGCCTTTGAGAGGTGCAGTGACCTGAATACACATTCCTATGCCCACTCCAGCAGTGCCTAGCTTTTCCATAACTGCAGTCAACGAATTCACTGAGAATTTGCACGCATTTCCGCTCAACAGGAGCAATACCCTTTAGCTTCGTTGCGGGACTAGAGCTGGGAACGAGGATATTCTTAGAGTCAGCAAGCTTGCTCATAGGGTCTAGCGAAGAGTGCGAAATGTCGCATAGCTCTGAGCTATTACGTTGTTACTAAGTATGCCGCTCTCGAGCCGCCGTGAATTGTCGCCGTCGTAGATTGTCGCCGCCGTAATTTCTGTCGCTCCTCGAGTCGTTCTAGGTGCCTTCCGCTTCGCTGGAATGAGATAAGACAAATATCTTTAAGACGAAAGATAGGAAGACCTACGCCCGAGACGAAGTTGCTAAAACGCATCTATAGGGAGCAACCGGGTGATTGCATTCAAATCCAGAGACACAAGTGCCGCTTGTGCTTGGTGAGCATACCCAGCATCCCTCACCACTTCCAGTACAGTCCTTTAAAAGTCAGCAATCAAGCCAGAAACAAAGCACGCTACTATGACTACAACTCACGCTCGCAAAGGTGCAGCCGAGAGCAGTCGAAGAGAAGAGTCTGAGCAGTATCAAAGCTGAGACGAAGACTTTGCTGAATAGCTCATCTTACCAAGGCCACGCAAAGTCTGCAAGAAGGAAGACAATACCTTCGGTTAGGAGACTATTCAAAAAGCTTTGGAGAGGAGACTCAAGGTTGATGCATCCGTGTTGTAAAAGCGACGCCGCTTCTAACCCTAAGTTAGAAGTAGCTTATATAACTTTGTCGTACAACACTCCGTATAGAATAATCTTGGTAGAGTGAGGTCTCTCTTTACTCAGAACTCACTAGTGCAGTGATCCTTTATCAAGTTCTCGGTCGTGATTGCGCTATCCGAGTCTCTTTCTAGGCACGACTGCCGTTACTATCGTTTGCCTAAAACCTATTAGTGCCGGTGCGGGGAGAACCCTATACCTCCGAGAGAGGAACTATACCGCTATTTTAGTAGTTTTTCAATTATTTCTCCTCCTTCTAATGTATAGAATCCTCTAGTATATCGTAGATATCGTATCGTCGGTATTTTAGTAGTATAGACCCTTCCGAGGTATTATTATTATTACTACCGCTACGCCGCAATAGTTAAGTCTGCTCGCATAAACCTCGACTAGCAAGGCTAGCTAATAAACCTGTTTGCAAAGGGTTAGACTACTAAGCAGGTTTATACCTTTATAAAGTTGCTAATAACTATTAGATCGGTATATAGATATTAAGAGAAATACCGCATCTTCGGAGCGTTATATACTAAGCATACTAGCGGACTAAAGCGTAGCAATAAGGCTATCCTTCTTTAGTAAGAACGTAACTTCTTACGCGGCTTCCTTAAAGACCGGTCTAACGCCTATTTTATAGAGATAATCTAAGCTCTTAAGGACGAGTTTCTACGGCTACGACCGATAAGTAATAGCGGAGAGGGTGTTTAGGTAAAGGCGCCTATGCTATCGAAGGTCCTAAAGTAGGAGATAGGCATAACTCGTAAGCAGGTTAAACGTAAAGCGAAGGAGCGTAATCCGTTCTTAAGGGCTTTATAGACGATTAGGTACGCTAAATAGCCGGTAGATCGACTCGTATTTATCGATAAGACTATATCTAATTAGAAGACTAGTTAGCGGAAGTATAGATAGTCGGTAAGAGGTCTAACTTGCGTTAATGTTGCCTATATAAGGCGAGAAGTTAGATAGTTAGTATTGCCTACGTTTACGCTATATAGCTATCTTCCGTATACTTACGTATACTAAGGATCGATCAATTCTAATCGTTTCTATCTCTAGCTGACTAAGCAAGTCCTGCCTTGCCTCGAGGATAGTCCGCCGATAATATTTGTTATAGATAATGCTAGTATCTACTATAGTGCGAGAGTTAAGTAGGCGATACTAGATACTAGCTATTATAGTAGGGAAACCCGGCTTAGCACTTGTGTATATACTTGTACCCCCTCTCCTTGTTTTTATATTCCGGAATATATAACTACCTTTATAATCGGAACACACATATATACTATATAAGGAGACACAGCTACGACAATATATAGTAAGAAGGATATAGGAAATGTACCTAATCTAGCTACAATGTAGCCCTCCCTACGGCTATTCTCTTCTCTTTAATATTCACAACGCCTTCTCTTCGAAGTATATAATGCTACGCCGACCTCTCGCAGTTTACTAAGTACTAGGCCTATAGTATACAGTTCCCTATATATATACCTCTACCTACGACCTACTCGTCCCGCCTATATTTTCTAGAGCCGAAGGTAGGGCTATCTTTATTCATTTAAAGGTACAGGTATATATATAGTTAAGAAGAAACGTTTATAGCCTTCGCCTAGAGCGAGGACTATACTACTAATATAATACTACCGCTAAAAAGACCTTAGTAGTATCGAGACGTCCTACTACTAATAAACCGTTACCGACTTAAAGCAAAAGGAATACCGTTACCGACTTAAAGCAAAAGGAAATACTGTTTACGAATGTTACGACTCCCTACCTATCTATAGCAGGCGGGACCTTATAAGAAACGACCTATATAGAAAGAAACCTAAGAGCCCGCTATAAGAAACTAGAGATAGGGATACGAAGAACCCCGAAAAGTCGATAGCCCCCTATCCCTTCCGCTAATCGGCGCGAGCCTAACTTAAAACTCCCTTCCGGGCTATTACGACCCTTCCGCGGTGCCGTAATCGGTATACTGCGAGTTAATAGAAATTAATAGAGAGGAATAAAGGGGGCCTAGAACGGGTATAGCGGGTATGCTAGCTAGCTAGCTAGGTAACATTCGCCGCCCCCTTTATTCTATATATATACGGACTACCGCCTACTCTCCCCTTGCTTCGAGGACATAGACGCGACACGTACTACAAAGTACGCTATAGCCCGTCTACGCTCCCTCCTTACCCTAAGTATACCTAGTAACCTATCTAATTTTATCGATACTGTATCCTTCCTATTTATTCTAATCGTTTATCGTCTTCTATAAATTGTTTATTCTATCGACGAGATAAGCTCCTAAGAAAACAATAACAACCCTACCTTAGCGGAGCCGCCTTTATAGGCCCCCTCTAATACCGGTACCTACCGAGACCTACCTCTAAACTTTATTCGCAACTACCTCGACACTAACTCGGATACCGAGAGGACTACGGCCTCGGGAAGCGATAAGGATACTAGTATAGAAAATAGAGAAGCGGCTTAAGGAGGCACTACCTAGGAGGGCGGTACTCGAGAAGTCCCCTAGTAGCTTATCTAGGCAACCGGAGGGCTATCCCCTTAACTTCTCTAAGGTCTTCTTTAGGCCTTCTCGGACTTGAAGCCGTAGATGCCCCTCCTAGGGACCGTTAAGAACCCCCTCTTTACTAGAGAAAACGCTACTAACTTTGTTAAAAGGTTTTCTACTATCCTTAAGCGATACTATCTAAGGGCTAAAACGGCTACTACGGTAAAGCTCCTTATAGCTAATTGTAAAACTAGCATCCGACCCCGAGTTGCTCGGCTCCTAGGTAGTAAGCCTCTTACGTAGGAAGCCTTCTTAAAGAAGTTCAAACGCGAGTTTACTAACTAGGATGTCGCGGTTCGGCTAAACTCCCGCGAATACCTTAAATAGCTATATACTAGATAAACGGCTAAGAGCGATGCCCTTCGCTTTTGCTAGGACTTCTATAGCATCGCTAAAGGGATACCGAGGAGGCTTCTTAATAATATTACGAGGAGCCGTCTGTTTCTAAAGGGCTTAGGAGGCTCTATGCCTACTATTATGCCTCGGATCTACGAGAAATGTAGTATCTACCCTTACGATAAGGAATCCTATACCGACTTCGAATAGATTTATCGTACTAGGTACGACCTAGCTCGTAGCCGATAGGGCTTCTCGCTCCTTACTAGTAACGATAGTAGCTATTTAAAAGAGCTACGAGAGACAGTTAAGAAAAGAATGCTAAGTATACGCCCTACCCTAGATGTCTAGCGATAGGGGGTAGCCCTTAAGCTAGTTACGGACCCTAGTATCGACGACCTTATTAAGCAGTTCTAAGAACTGAAACTTTACGTCCTCTCCCGAGACAATTAGAGGGGCCCTACTATAGGTCTAGTTAATACTAATACCGATTCGTATGCCTTATAGCGCCTCTATCCCCTCTAGAGCGACAATACCCCTACAACTTAGATATATAACAACTAGTTTGTATAAGGGCTAACCTTCGATGCCTTTGCCTTTTAATCTATCCCTAGTATAGAGGGTCGCTATTACTATTACGGAGCTAAAGGCTACCTTCGTCTAAACTGTAGGCCCTACCGGTATATATAAGACTAAGGGTTCTACTATATTCGGGACCGTGCGTAGTACTTCGGGCCCCTAGGTATACTATACGCTACCCTATTCTGCTTCCGTAATAGTCCTACCCTCCTAAAGCTCGCTATTATACTTCCTCTCCTCGAGGCCTATTACTAGTAGGAGATTGTTTTCCTACCTAAATTTAGAATAGAAGCCCTTCGAAAACAATTTAACTATCCTTCTTAGTAACTAAGGCGAACTATAGCCCCTAGTGCTATAGCTTAACTAGGCCCTCGAGTTCCGACTCCTCGAGCCCTAGCTCCGATAATTCCTTCTACTCTTCCCCCTCTACCTTTAAGATCTCCGGGAAATCCCTACGGAGGGATCGCTTCAAACGATACTCGAAACGGCCTTCCTGCCCCTACTGCTGCCCCTACTACTACTAGGCGGGTTATACTATACTAAAGGCCCTACGATCTAGGTATAGTCGAGGAGGCCGATAAAGAGCTAGATTTTAGCGACTACGAGGCGGCTATAGTTATAGATACCCTTGCCTATACTCGTAGCTAGGACGCACCGCTTAGGAATAGTCTTCTCGTTACCGCTATTGCCGACATAAATCGGATCCGGAAAGCTACTACTAAGTAGAAAGGTACTACGAAGACTAAGGGCATTCGTAACGTAGTTTAAGGGCTTAGCGTTCGCGAGGCAGAGGAAGCAATTCGTAAATAAACCTAGCTTCGAAGAACTACTTAAAGGTCTACGAGCCTACTACCTCTAAGAGTAGGAGCCTAGTCTAAGGAAACGGTTAGTTATAAAACCCCTACTACTAGCCCTTCTAGTACCTATAGGCAGCCTACTACTAAATCCTTAAATAGTAACGCTAGCCTACCTAAGGATAGTAATTAGGAAATAGATAACGTACTACCGCCTACCTCGAAGCCTGCCGCTAAAGAACTATCGAAGGGGGTAAACCCTCCGAGCCGGTAGAGAGCTACGCGGAAAGAGCCTAAGACAACTAACATTATAAAGAATCTTTAGAAACACTATAAGGACCCCGACTTTTAGGTAAAGAAATTCCTTAGTAGGAACGGTATATAGCTTAGCAATGCTAAGGCCCTCGCCTACATTCCGGAGTATTAAAAGCTCGTTGCACGCTAGCTAAACGACAACGCGCTTGCTATAAGAATTCGGGAGCTAGAAAAGGATAAAACCGATAAGATCCCTTACTAGATTATAGAAATAGCAGGTAGGGTAGCTACCTTAGCTGCTAGGAAAGGTAGACCTAGGCGGCCTAAAGACTACCCTATTCTAGTCCTTACCTCCGCCCGGGAGTTCTTTACTAGCCTTAACGAGGAAGAAAGCTACGAGGAATACGAGGCCGCTAACAGAGAGGTTATCCGGGACCCTAATTCGATTAGCTAGAGAAACAGACTTAATTGCTATATAGTATAGGTTATTTTATCCGGGGTAGACGCCCTGCCTAACGAGATGCTCTATATCGACCCTAGCTAGATTCGCCTCTTATTAGTCGACGACAACTTCGCCCTTGTTCCTAGTCC